CAATCTTAAAGGAAATCAAGCCTGACTGCTCATTGGAAGGATTGATAATGAAGCTCAAGCTTTGGTCACCTAATGTGAGGAGAGGACTCTGGAAAAGACCCTGATGCTGGGAAAGATTGAAGGCAAAAGGAGAAGAGGGCGGCAGAGGATGAGATGGTTAGATAGCATCACTGAAGCAATGAGCATGAAACTGAGCAAACTCAGGGAGGCAGTGAAGGACAGGAAGGCCTGGCGCAATATGGTTCATGGGGTCATGAAGAGTCGGACACGACTTAACGACTGAACAACAACAAGTACAATGTACCATTAATTAATCTCTGGTAACAGAAACAGGTATCCCATCCTAAATGACTACTGCATCACAGAAAGACTCAAGAATCTGCTCTGAGAGGTTGCAATCTTGCTAGCTTTAGAATAAACTTAAATAACTTTAGGCCTGAGACTTTTTTAGATTAATCAGAGTTTACTGTGTCATTCAAACTCAGATTATTTTAGCCGAATTCCAGAATCAAAATAATTTCTACTAACCATATTGATTACATTCATACAGGAGGCTAATTCATGGTTTGTTAAACAGGCCATAAAGACAATTTAGTCTTGTGATAGGCATGGCTAGTTCAAATTCCTGTTTTTTAAAATCTTCCTTTCTAACCTTCTTTTGTCTTGCATGTATTAGAGGCTCAGCAGTTCCACAAAAACATGTCAGAAAGCCATAAATCATGCATCCCCATTAAATTAAAATTGCAATCAGTTAAGGCAACAAACTGTAGTGTGAAGCTGGTTTAATGTTCTAAAACAAACTATGGTTTCAATAGAAGAGAATATATGTAGCACAGTGTTGAACTGTGGACTGTAAACTATGGCTTAGAAGTAAAATAAAAAAAAGCCATATATTGGTTTAATGCAAATGTCTGATCCCAACCAGAGTTATGTTGGGATACTCATATCAAGTATGTGCAACGACGGTTACAAAGCCTCAGCTGTTCTTTTAATGGTAGCTCTAGGTTCAATCTTGACACCAGCTTGCAGAGAGAATCAAATTAATGGCTTTAGTTCTTTGCGTAGTTCTCTATCATATCTCACAACATTACCTCCTGCTTTGTATGATTCAAGCAATTCATTGCAGGGTGTCTGCGGTCATCTATAACAAGCGGAGGCTTCCAGGGATCATAGTTGGTTTCTACAACATACCAGATGCCGTTCTTTGTATCCAAACTTGAAATAAAAGGTAAATGTTAACATTTATTTTCTACCAAAGATGTGCTCTGATATTTATTTCTATTACATTAGCGGCTGAATTCAACTTATTTCTAAAAGTGTATCTTAAGCAGCTCTCTCAAAAAGTTAGAAGCATTTCTTCTTCAAAAAAAAAAAACCTGTCAAAACTATTAAAGCACACAGAAGCTGATGCAATGAAATTGAAAACAAATGCAAAAACTGGCTGAAACCACCTTTATGGCATTATAAGTATCAATATGGCTGTTTTAACACATGCCATTATAAGCAATAGCTATAGAGTTCTATTAGTGACCATACTTACTTCTTAATGTTTAAAGCAGCAGTTCGAGAACGTGTAATAATGCAACCCTCGTTAGATTTGTTTCCACCTAATATGAAGTAAGCTGGAGCCAGCAGTTTTGTGTTGGCCAATTTGTCCTTTGCATCTTCATAACTATATGCAACAAGAGAAACAATGCAATGAATACAGGGAGCAGGTGAGATATGCACATTGTCAAGCAAAAGATGACCTTTCAAAATGCTCCCTATTCAGCAGGAATGGGAAACATTTTTGTGGAGGCTGTGGGCTACACTCCTCCCCACCCCTGCACTCTGTTATTTTCAGCCACTGCAAGGCTCAGGGTGATGAGACTGTGAAATTGCCAAGGCCATCTGGGAGTTTAATGGACCTTCTCTTTCTTTTTTTTCCTAGCAGAAATTAGTGGGAAAAGGTTGCCCTAGTGATTACTGAGTCATTGAGTCCTTGCCAAGTTTCAGTGACATGATTTGGGATGGTGGGGAGAGAAGAGATGCATATACCCAATGGTATAGCAATCTCTGACTAGTTTGGGATCATATCATATACAGAGTAGTATATAAGAATGACTGGATGGAGACATACTGTTCTATTGCAAGTGACAAAGGAAGAGCAAAGGTCAGTGGCATTGTGTTGTTTCCAAGAAAACAGCCAAGGAGAAGCAAAGAGACACAAACACTTTGAGTAGCTTTCCCAAACTTGGTATCTACCAGATGTATTAGCTATTCTCGGTGTTATTCTAGGAATGGTAGTTTTATGTATCTGGAGAACATAGGTAGAGCAAGGTTAATTTAAGAAGAATTAGAATGATGGCAACTGATGCTAGGAAAGCCACAAGGGATACAAATAGTAGCTTCTCTTTAGGTTACAACACTTCCTTCACTCCTTCCACTACTAGAGCTCCTATGACCAAAAGCTGCCTTCAATGTGGCTTCTATCAATAATGGAAAAGAAGATTCCAACTATTCCTGCCTTCTATGAGAAACAATTATATTTGCCATTCCGAGGCAGCAATGAAGATCAATCAGGATAAGAAGAAGGAGAAGTAGAATTTGGCCACAAGATCAACATGTGATTGTTTACAAGTCAGAAAATATGGCTCAAGCCAACCATCACGTGCCTATTTTCCTAAAAATAAATCAGTGTATAGTTATTTACATTCACATGCTAGCAAAATAATGCTTAGGATCATTCAACACAAATTATAGCCCTACAGAGAAAAAGAGATGTCAGATGTTCAAGCTGGCTTTAAAAAAGGCTGAGGAATACTAGACATTATTGCTGATGCATGCTAGATAACTGAGAAAGCCAAAGAATACCAAAAAGAAGTCACTATGTGCTTTATTTATTACAGCAAGGCCTTTGATTGAGTCGATCACTTCACACTATGGAATGTACTTAGAAAAATGGGAATCCTAGAACATCTCACTGTCCTCATGAGAAACTTATATACAAGTCAGGAAGCCACTGTATGGACAGAACATGATGAAACAGACTGGCTCCAGGTTGGTAAACGAATGTGACAAGGCTACATACTCTCCCCGTACTTATTCAACCTATATGCTGAATATATATTAAGGGAAGCTGGATTGGAAGAAGAAGAGTGTGGTTTTAAAATTGGAGGAAGGAACATCAATAACCTGAGCTATGCTGATGGCCTACCCTTTGCCAAAAATGCAAAGGATCTGCAAGTCCTGGTACTAAAAGTCAAACAGCCCAGTGGAAAAAAAACGGGACTAAAATTAAATATAAAGAAGACCAAACTAATGACAACTGGCAGAACCACCAGCCTTAGAGTAGACAATGAAGATATCAAAGTGGTGGATAGCTTCTGCCTAGCTCAACCATCAAAAATAAAGGAACGAGCAGTTAAGAAATATGCTGCAGACTACCACACCGGGCAGCTATAAAGGCCTTGGAAAAATATTCAAATGCAATGATGTGGCTATACCTACAAAGATCAGGACTGTGCGTATCAGGACATTCCCTGTGACCTTCTATGGAAATGTAAGTTTGACTTTAAAGAAGCAGAATAGGAAGAGTATTGACACTTTTGAACTTTGGTGTTGGAGAAGACTTCTGAGAATACCTTGGATAGCCAAGAAAACAAACCAATGGATCATTGAACAAATCAACCCAGGGTTCTCACTCAAGGAACAAATGACCAGGCTCAAATTATCCTATTTTGGACTCATTATGCAAAGACCTAGCTCTCTGGAGAAGGCTTAACGCTGGAAAAGGTGGGAGGAAAGAGAAGAAGAGGAAGACTAGCAATAAGGTTGATGGATTTAGTTATGAATGTTATTTAGTTATTTAGTGATGAATGCAACCTAAAAGATCAGGTTAGGGACAGTTTGTCATGGAGAAAATCTATGTGGTTGCTAGGAGTCAACAACAACTTGATGGCACTCAGTCAATCAACAGCTACCTAGATTAGGGAAACAATTCACAATATATCTTGTGTGTGTGCCCCACTTCTTGGAAAAAAGATGGTTGCAAAAACCCACATGATTAACAAGAACTACAAAAATGTAAAGAAAGCAGCATCAGTTGCAACATCAATATATAGCCACATCTGCTGATGAACTGCTTAAGCATCTTTTTTTTACAACTGTTATTAAAGATTTCCACATAAGTAAAAGATAAACATGAAATTATATAGAGTGAAATTAAAAAAGAAATAAAAAGAAAAGATAAAAAGAAATAGAAGTAGAAGTAGAAAAGACAGTGCAGGTAGGGAAAGGAAAGAAAGCTTCCGATCTTTACAGCAGTTATAAACACATTCATTATCTTGAACTGCTTAAGCATCTGACATGCTACCTTGTGCTGTTTTCCAACACAGTTCTGGTGAGGAAACTCATCCACCAACCATCCCTCTGGCCAAGAAGCCACTCAAAGACTCCTGCAAGAGATACAAAATAGAAAAGCTTTAATTCTACTCAATTACACCTTGTATTTTGAATCTTAATCTAATGCTACTTTTCTTCATTTGATACCAACATCAGATGTAATTGATTATCTGTGGGGTTTAGGACTAAACTCTTAATAAAATATCTTGATATTTTCTCTTTTTCAGACAAGAACAGTTCATTAGGGGTACTCACCAATGTAACCTCCATCAATACTGAATCGCTCATTCATGGTTAAAGTGAAAATACCCTAAAACAGAAGCCGATTAACACAGTTTAATACTTGAATAAAGTGAATTCATTTCTAATAGTCAGAAAACAAATTCTTTCATATCTAATACAGATTCTTCCATAAAGCAGTACAATGTGACTAACAGACTTCCTGTTATAGAACTTATAAAGTTATAAACTCCACTGTTTACATACCCTATGATTCTATTCATATATCCCTTAAACCATCATGTGATCCTTGGATGTGGCATAAAATGTGTGAATCCATCTTTGTGATTGTAAACAATGACATATGGCTTGTAGCGATGTGCAACCCCAATCAATTATGAATTATACAGTGAGGCACAATTAAACAAACCACAGTTCACCATGACTGTGTGCACAGCCTTTCACACAATACACTAAATCATAATGTGGATGCTTGTTTACAACCTAATGTGCTACGTGAACCCAGCCTCAATGACTTGTAAACCATAGTTTATGACTTAGCATGCTGTGTGAACCCAGCCAATGAAGGTTCCTTAAATTCTTAAGCAAATCATGGTTTAGCAGATTGTGTGAATATAACTTTTATTACATGTTTGTGCGCAAGAGAGTGGTTGGATTAACACACCTCACTAAGTCATGTCTTGTTTAATAGTGGTTCACTAAGTAAGCCAAAACTGGCTCATCTGCACAAAACCCAAAGCTATGGTTTACAAGTTCACAGTTCAAAGAATGTGCTAATCCTAAACCATCAATAAACTTGAATCAATAAACTGTGTGACTGCAGCCAGCGATTCACACAAGAGAGGACAGGCAGATGCTTGAGCCTCAGAGTACCTTCACGGGGGCTGCAAAATGACTGCGGCACTAACTCATTACCAACTATCCTGAGAATTGTTAGACCAGTAGAAGACAACCTGATTACCAGAGCAGAGGAAAAAAAGAGAGAAACTGAGAACCTTGTAACATGTTTTTTTTTCAAAATTACTAATTAAATAATCCCTCAGAACAGTGAAGGGTGTTTCTGATTCAATAAGAAAAGTGAATTTAGAGGAAACCTCTGTCATTTAGAGGAATATTCAACAACTGAGCCATTTTTCCATTTCACTGCCCGAACCACAGAACATGAAGTTGAAGCCAAAATATCTGTGGAACACTAAACTGAGAATGACTATTTTATTTTCTCTTCAGGTTTGTGCATGAGGCACTTCCAGTGGCAGCCAGGATTGTAGAAACTTGTAGAATACAAATTTCATTTCCTAGTCAATCCATCTGCCAAATAAACATACTTTATGCATGTAATGAAAGGGATGTTAACCCAAGAAAGCTTTATGCCAAGATTAATCTGTTTGTCTCACAGATCATGCAACATTCCGCTCGTTTTGCTCCAAGTTACAATTTGCAGGACTCAAGCAGTAAAGGTGACACGGTTGATTTTTATATATATATAAATGAATAAACAGGCAAAACAAGGTCAGATCCTGCTTTTCAAGCTAGCTGAAGTTTGCACACTTTATGGTTTGCTAATTTCAAGTTTGGCAGCAGGTTTTGGCTGCCAGTAGCCCAAAAGAGGAAGGCTCCCCTCCCTTCCCTTGACTTGTGAGAAAGAGGAACCGGGCACCTGCCAGTCTGAGTTTAAGTATGTTCAGGTTGAAAGTAATAAATTATGACTTTTCTGTATTATTAAGATTAGAATGCAATTTGCATTATATAAATGAAGGGACGCTTACTTGTTTAACTCCAGATATCATTCCCACATAGCCAGCAAAATTCGAAGACTTAAACACTGTTTTATTATTTTTCTGAAAATCCAGTGACACCATTAAGGGCTTCAGCTTCCCCGTTGTAATCCAGGAACTATTTTGTATATCCCACCTACATGGGAGAAAAAAGTTTTAAATGTAAGACATAAATATATATTTAAAACAAAGTGGAGTCCTTTCTGGCAGCTTCCTTCTATATAGAAACCTAATGTTTAGTTTGTGTGTGTGCCTCACTTAAAAAGGACTACAAAAAAATCTGAATTTCACCTTTTGGTGAAAATTTTGCTCATCCTGCAACCTATGCTAATTATGAAAACTATGAAATTGGAGCTTTTCTTCTCTCAGTTAGAAGGCTATATCTCAGCCCCTAGATCAGTCAATATTTGCTGGTTTCATCTCATGCTTCTTTATGAGAACCAGGGATATTTTATCCCCTCCTGTTAATCTTCACAACAGGGTGATCAAGCTAAGTTTTCTAATAAATCTTAATTCAGAAATATGACACAGGAATCTTCCTCCTAAAGTTCCTTGGCTCATACATAGTGCATTCAAAGTTAATGGTAGAGGATCCAGGGTCTCCAAACTTTTCTCCTATCCTAAAGTAAGTTCAACTGGGAGATTGTGATTGGTCAACATCACCACTGACCTTCATGCCCGAATTAGGATTTGAACCTAGGACACCTTAGTTTTAATGTGTCACTCTAGCCACCATCTTGATGCTTTGAATGGGTTCATATCAATATAACATGTATCCAACAACTTGTCCAATTTGTCAAAGTTTCTATATTTTTTAAAAAACAAAGCAAGGCAACTTTCTACCTCACTGGATTATTATTTGCATGAATACACACACACACACACACACACTTTCTTTGGTGTGTTATTTTTCAGCCAATAAATATTTCAAGCTGGAGATCTGCTGATTTTGTTTTGGCAGATCATGTCATTTTGCTTGAAATCAGACCTGAACAGATTTCTTTTCCATCCCTATCCAAAGGTGCCTATTTGCAGTAAAAAGGGATCCTCAGGTCAACTCACTGAGAAATGAGATAGAGGATTACCATGTAGAAATGCATGTGCTTGTCACTTTCTTTTCCCCATTAGTCAAGTGTAACCTCTATCTTAATAGTTACCGGAAAATAAGTGTCAGCTTCCCCATCCCATTCAGTCTGGCTTTTCATTAACACCCACTGAATTTTACTCCAAGCACTAAATCTTAAGATTCTTCTATGCTATGTAGAACATAAAGCTTTGGCTAGCACTTAAGAAAAATCAGGAGTCCCTAGTATCTTGTCAATTGTGAAGATCAAGACAAAACAGGATGAAAATATATTACAAATTAAAATATGCAGATAAGAAATACTGCAAAATCTATGGTGACCTTCCAGCGTGAAGGAGATGCATACATTGATTATCCTTGCTAGCAGTGTTCTTGAAATTACAGGTACTTGCACTGACATTTTTGCTATTACATCTCAAATTCTGGGCAATATGCGTGACCTAAAGCACCAACCAACCCTTAACTCCAGTTCAGATACCAATGGGAGATTTTATCATGGAATTTCAACAACACATGGCCTTAAAGAAAAATAGGAAACATCACTAGGCTGAAGACAGAACATTAACATACAGAAAGAGATATAAAGTGGCAGGGTAGGGATTGCAAGAAGTTCCTAAAAAGACAACTAACAAACTCACTACCCAGAGAAAAATACTCCATTCTTTAACCTTGTATGAGTTTAAATTTTTTTTCTAAAAAAAGGGGGGGGCATATAATCTTGCAGCTACTACATACCCAAGAAACAGTCCAAAATCAAGATTTCTGGCATGGTATAGCTTTCCTGGTTGAAAAGGGAAAAAAAAAAAAGAATTTGAAGAGAAAAGCCATTTAATTATTATTTATTTATTCAATCTGTATGGCCAACCATCTCAGCAACTGACTCTGGATGGCAAACAATCTTAAAATAAATTAAAAGCAAATTCTCATCATAAATAGAAAAATTAAAATACACAGCAGCTGAAGGAGATATCACTGTTGATGGTTTTAGCTGTCACCACTCCCAGGTAAACAGGAAACACGAGTAGATGAGCTACTTTTACTTTATTGTAAGGCTACATTAACAGAATCTTGCAAGTCTGAAAGTACAAATCTCCCGCCCTCCCTATTTACTGCCTGAGTAGTTAGGGCAGGTCCTTCCTAAGTTTCTTTTTCTGGCCGTTACTCTGTTGTGGTCTCCTTTCTCTTTTATCTGATTGTTTCCCAGGCAGCATCTCTTCCCCCACGACTTCCAAGGTCACCCTCACATTCTATCACATCAGCACAACCAGGAGATGGGACCCTTCACGCCCTTGGGGCCCTAGGCCCAGGCCCAGGCCCAGGCCCAGGCCCAGAACCAGGTTTTTAGTGCCTTATTATTATCCTTCTCAAATAACATCAGAACAGCTATACATTGCCTACCTGATGTGTCTTCAGTTACTATGGATGTGCACACCGTGAAGATCTCATAGAAGATGTTGAATGCAACAACATCACCTGCACAGAAGGGAGCAGAAGGAAAGAGAGACCATTAAATTGTCAATAAAATAGACAAGCAAAATGGGCACAAACAAAAACAAGAAATATAACCTGGCAACACTAATCAAAGGTGACTCTAGATTACAGGTAGCAAAATAACAGCAAAGAATAACTTACATATCACCAAAAATCCTGAAAAGGCATACTAGAAACCTGTGCTACCCCTTTCTCTAATTTTGAGAATCATTAGAAGCTACAAAAGATGCCATCTCATATGGTATTTAGCTGCCTATAAAAATAATTTACAAGCCTTCTTGTCTGATGATAATTTAGGAACAAATGCAAATTAAAAGTAACATAATAGAAATAACATGCCTTTCTAAATTATATAATACAGGTAGTCCTCACTAAATGACCATTTGTTTAGCGACCGTTCAAAGTTATGATGGTGCTGAAAAAAGTAACTTACAACCGGTCATTGCACTTATGACCATGACAGCACCCCCCCGCGGTCACATGAACATGTTCCAGTGCTTGGCAACCAGCTTGCACTTATGACAGTTGCAGCGCCCCAGGGTTATGTGATCACTGTTTGTGACCTTTTCAGCCAGCTTCTGGCAAGCAAAATCAATGGGGAATTGCATGATTCACTTAACAACTGCAATAATTCACTTAACAACTGCCACAAAAAATGTCATAAAATTAGGTATGGTCACATGATGCCTCGCCCTGCTTAACAAATTTTCTGGTCCCTACTGTGGTCATTAAGCAAGGACTACTGTGCCTGATTTTGCAATTTCTGTAAAACTAGGGAAAAGATTACAGGATAAAGGAGATCAGATGTACCAAATACATGAGGTTAAACCCTGCTTTAAGCATTATGCTTCCTGCATGCAAATTAGAAAAGATACTGTGCAAATTTGAGAGCTCCACCCAACCTTTCTGGACTGACTGATATTTAATTGAGGTAATACCCAGAATTAGCATCTCTTCATTTGAATTAAGATCTGGTTTTATACATGTTTTCTAGTGCATGCGGATAGTTCCATGCACTTACTAGAACCTCAGCACACTTTGCTGGAGTAGCTAAAATATTCAGTGGCAACAAAGGAAGCTATATATTTGAAAGTCAGATACTACAGGGAAATGGAAATTACCTAAAGGAGCTTCAACAGCAGAAGCAATGCCTTTTATTTCTTCATTGAAAGGATATGGAAGGGTAGAGCCTAACCAAGCCTAAAAGGAAATCATGAATTAGTTAAATTCTGAAAATTATAACAATGTATGCTCAATTTTTTAAAAAAAATTAATTTTTTTTAAGCACCAATTATTTCACTCATTGTAAGCTGGTGTAGACAACTTGTGGGTCCTGAACATCTTTTTCTGTAGCTGCTATTCTACTGATGAAATACACATGTTGTGCTTTCTCACAGGTTCAAGCAAGAAACACAAACACTGTACTCTAAGCTAAAATAAGTTTAACAGAAATACAAAGCAATGATCCCTCCTCAATCCACTCATCAAACATTAAAAAAAATCATATCCCTTGCCATTTGTGCAATGTTCTTCTACCTAATGTATTTCTGCTTGCCCACTGCAGCTCTTGGACCACTTCAAAAGTTAAGCACAACTGCCACTCATCAAAAGGTAGCCTACCCCAGTATAAAAAAAACAAGTTATAAAATCTAAGGAGCCACTCATATAATTTAATTTCATACAATTATGGAGGTACTGCAGTTATTTTTATCTATCTATCTATCTATCTATCTATCTATCTATCTATCTATCTATCTACCTACCTACCTACCTACCTACCTAAAATAATGTATAGTAAGAACAAAGTCCAACATTGTGGTATTTCAGAATAGCTGGAATTGTTGAAAAGTTACAAACTCCAATACATCCTTCTTTTATTGTTGTTTCATTAACTGCAATATCTGAGTTCATGCAAAATGTTCACAGAAGCAAGGATGATAAAGAACAGGAAGAATACATTCCTGTAGAGGACAATGGCTATGGACTTTCAAGGACAAGTCAACCAACTTTATTTCTGGGAAACCAAAATTCTAAATTCTACATAGTGCTATCTTTTTCTCTGAACCCAGTAAGTCAATTGAAGACCATCCCAAAACAACAGTGAAGTATTATTAAGTAATGTGTTGCACTGCTTTAGTAAGAGCCTTCATTTCTGTTTCAAAAGAAAATGTCACAGTAGGTAAATGGAAGAGAATGGTTTGTGACTGCTAAATACATGGAGACAAATGACCTGTTCTTCAAGTAAGCAGCTTAAATGTCCTACTGGGCTTGTCAAGTTTAAGTTTCTTTTTTCTGTTCCTTCTTTATTATCTTTTGGTTATCCCAAAACACTGCACATGCTGGGAATGCAGTAGTGATAATGGAGAAGATAATCAAATAATCATGGGATAATCAAATCTGTTTTAAAATGAAGCAAATAGACAATTCCTTCTAATTCCAGAGTAAGTTGTACTGAAACCAATGGATGCTGGAAAATCCAATAAGAGAACCCACATCAAAATATTAGAAGACTGAATAACATCAACACTTTGAACTATAAAATGTTTATGGAGGTTTGAAAAAAAAATGTTTGGGGAGTTACAGGTGGGAAAATTATCATTGACTAGATTCTCAGAAGATTTCCAATTAATCCACATTATTATTTTTCATGCATTTTTCTAAATCTACCCATGCATCCCCAAAAACACTATGGAGTGCTTCACAATCTATAGCTCACCAACAGAATTGTCCATAAATCAGTTTCAGTTTTGGGCCTTGGTTAGAAAAAGATGTAGCTTTGTTGTATAGCACACACACAGAGACTACTCTGTCTGGCTACTCTACGTTGGGCTAGGGAACACTATTGTTAGTTGGCATAATGCCTCAATAGATAGTCAGGCAGAATAGTTCCTTTATGTTCCAAGCAAGAGTTAGCAAATCTGGGATGCTAATGAGCCATGTACTCTGATACAGCATGGAAAATCTACTATAGTTATTAAAAAATCATTGGATTGACTGAAAATGTAGCCTTATTTTTTCGGGGGGGGGGTATGCCCACTGCTTGTGTTTATATTCTTAAACAGCAGGTCACATGTGCAACTCTTTCGTGTACTGCTCTGGTCTTTGGTACATCAGTAGTCTCTAGAATGTTACAGTTGGATGAAAGTTCAGCCAGCTGGTTTAATTTCTTTCCCAAACTGAACAAAAACTGAATAAACTGAAAATATACTCACTAATTTTGATTCCATAGATGCTATCAATTTTCTACTATGGACGAATGTATAAAATATATCTTTAATAGTCTTCATTACAATCAGTAACTACAAGAGTGTAAAAAAAAAGGCAAGAGATTAACCTATGTTAGGGGAATGGAATGCAAGATCCAATTAAATGGAAACGTATCAAACTTTATCAAGAACTGCAAAATGAATGGACATCAGAAAGTTTACAAAACTGCTAATCTACTCTTACACAGGCATTTTGAACCTTACTTTTATATAAGTAGATAAGCTTTGAACTGGGAAACTATTCACACTGCTGAGCATCCTTCACTGCCTCATTTCAACTTGGCTAGTGACAATGAGGTGTGCAAGGGACAGTATAGGAAGGCACCATAATTTTGCTACCTGGTTATACTTACTCACAAGGCCCCTTTTGTCATATTGTGGTGAGGCAATCTTCAGAAACTTACTCCCACTTACAGACTCTCATTGTAGCGGTCTCCAAAACCAACTGAGCAGGAAATTCATTTGGATTCCAACAATCTGAACTACATATATTAGAATGCTAGTCTGGATAACTGAGGAAGGCAGACTCCCTTCTAATTTTTCCTACTAGGTGAGATGCAGATACAATGAATACCCAGAATCCAACAGGCCCTTGACTGGGCCAAAATGGAGAAGGATGCTCTAGCCGACTGATCTTAAATGCCAATGGTTTTTGTGTTCTGTAGCCGCCATGGGGCTGGGGGAGGGGGAGAGTTGATGGGCTCTTTTTGTACTGTGGATTTTAATTCTGTAAGCTGCCCGGAGTAACTGTGTGTGAGTTGGGCTATATACATTTGTTTAATAAATAAATAAATAATAAATTTATCAACTGGCTTGACTTCAACATGCAAAAACAATGTACAATTTTCCCCTTATGTAATTTAAAACATTTTTGGCATTTTTAACATTAAGAATATTAGCTATGGTAATTCAAATTAATTAAATCATAACTCCCTCAGAGAAGATGAAGATGCTTAATTCCCTTCTGCTATGTTCCTTACCTCAGTTTTTTTGGCATGTACCACCTGGACCCATCTCTGACTTGGTGGCAGGTCAAGGTTTATGATATAATTAGAAACTGTTCCTTTATACCTGAAAAACAGTCAATTCCCATAAATTTGCTAATGAAATTGTTACATATAAACTGCTAACTTCTGTTCTCTTATTTCTAATAAAGTTGTTCCAATTATTTTAGCTGTGTTATCTAGTTTTGATCCACCAATATTTAACACAGGTGCATCTTATACGAAACTTGGAGTGATTTTCCTAATATTTATCGGAACAGGCAAATACTGATATTTTGGACCACAACTCCCAAAACCTGTAACCATGGGCCAGATGAGGCATCTTGGAGTTAAAGCCCAACTCATCATAAAGACTTCCTGATTGTCTACATCTCCTCTAATCTGCACTCTACTTTCCAGGATAAAATAATTTCTTATAAAAGCAAAACACAATGGCTTAAAATAGAGGAAAACATTCTAGCTGAAGCCTGACTGTTGATGGATAAAGTAACATTATTTTCTGTAACATTATAAGGTATGTTTATTAATGTAATACAAGATGATCCTAATTTTCTTTGTAGCACTATCACAATTCTCATACAGAATTGAACAGTTCAAAACTAGCACTGAACAGTTCAAAATTCCTATCTAACTAAATCTGTGAGAAAACCAGGTTCTCTTTATATCTGAGAGTATCCGAAGAGTTGTTAGTAAGCTACTTACGTTGGTCCAGTTGGCGGATATTCATGTATTTTACATTCTTCAGCATACTGGAAAATAAGATAAAGCCTTTTTAAGAAGTTGCATTTTTATACCAGTGAAGTGCAAAACTTTACAGTCTTTGGAATTTTTGTTGTAATAGGAAAAAATAAAGCCAAAGTTCAATCCTACACACAGTATAAGAATTAAATCACTTTTTTTTTAATCTGTTCAATTGTGTCTGATTCTCGGAGACTGCCTGGAGAAGTTCTTGTGGTTTTCTTGGCAACGTTTTTCTTGCCCTTGCCTGCTTCCTAGGGCTGAGAGAATGCGACTGGCCCAAGGCCACCCAGCTGGCTTTGTGCCTGAGGCGGGACTAGGGTCATTAACTTGTTCTAGAACAAGTTTTTGTTCTTTGGGCCTGAGGCGGGACCCTAAGGGCTAGGGTCATTAACTTGTTCTAGAACTCTTCTGCAAAATTAGCTATGTTCCCTGACTGCAGATGTAACTAAAATTAATTTAAATTACAAAAAATAAAAACAAAAAGCAACCTCTTTTTTTTTAGCATGTGCTAGACTCATTCAATGTCAACATTATGGTTTGCTAGAATAACTATTGCAACAGTGCTAGTCACTATAAAGGTTATCCTTACAAATTGGTTGGTACCCCAATAATTCAGTGGTTTTTATATTCTAGTCTTGACATGTCTTTCTGTGTGTTACCAATTAAGTGAAATGCTTTTCTAAGGGTAATTCAATAATACAAGTATTTAACTTATTTAATTCAAGATTTTTTTTTACATTTTTGAATGCCCATTTTTAAAAACATCCATCCATGGAGTTTTAAATAATGTCAGAGCTGGAATTTCTATGCCAAACCCACTTAAGATGTCAGGATATCAGTTCTGGCAGAGTGGTTACATCACTCTGCCTTTAGATTAATCTTTCCATTGATGAAGAAACAGACTTACCTAACAAGGGCTGACTTGATGGACTAGCTCCATAAGTACCTTGTATAGGTGAGAACAAGAGTTCAGCTTAGATATCCTAGCAGGTAGTGGGTGAAGCTTCTTTAAATGCACTACAGTCAAACCCATTTAGATATTTAGACATACATGTCTAGTTCTTCCTAGTCTTCAAATTGCTAAGGATTTCTTTCCCTTCCATGACACAGAATCTCTCTAAGTGAGGTAATAAGGTTATTAAGCTACTGTGTTAAACAGAATAAGGATGATCTATCTATGGTTTGATAAGATGCCTGAATCACTGCCAGCTAAACAGAACCAGATTCTACTTTGTATTATTTCTTTCCTACCAGTAGCTCTCAGAATTTTTACTTGGCTTAGTAAGTGATAGTAAAACCTGATGCCACATGGAGGGGGCTGGCATTAAATAAATTCTTCCTTGACTGCATTTAGTCAGAAGCTTTGTCCCCTCAAATGTATTCAGTAAATTCACTAAATGTATTCATTAAAATTCACTAACAAAAAATAGAAATGTGACAGTAGGAGTTAGAATGAAATCTGGTTGGTCTTATATAACTTCTTTTAACCTACAAGAGGATTTTTTAAAATGCACTAATATACAGATCACATTCACAAAAATACACAACTGCTGGTAACACGTGCACCTCTAAATTACAGGGAGAAGACAAAATCATAGGTTTTGAAAAATATCACTCAACTGCATTATGCAGCTAAAATAGACACAATTAGGACAGTATTTCAGGCTTGGATTTTGTTTTTCAGGCAACTCAGTAAACATAAAAAGAAAATCAAACAAATACCCATGAAATAATTTTATTTACTTTCTCTTCTGTGAGAAAACAAAATCAGCCCAACGCATCTTGTCTTAACAGGCCAAACAAACCTTTGTTCATTCATGAGCACCGAAATACAACTTTCTATGTGACTCAGTGTTTATTTTTATTTTATTATTAAATTTATATGCCGCCCATCTCCCCCAGAGGGTGACTCTGGGTGGCTTACAATACAATACCATTAAACAGTAGTGTTGTAATCTTCCCATTCTATGACTCACTTCAATGTTATTCATTAATAGAAATGCAGAAATTCAGTTTGGGGTTTCAAGAATACGGTAGGATGGGAATTTTACAATGTTGAGAAACTGCACAATCAGGCCATTATGGCAAAGGTAATGTGCATGTTTATTAAAAAGGGTACAAAGCAGTTATGGCTTCAACACTGTAGAAGTAACAAAAAATGAAAAAAAAAAATAGAACTGGAGACAGTAGTACAATAAATTCTTCCTTAAAAGGCTGCACATCTGTTAAGTAGTATTTATTTTGGGTTAATTAATGACCCAAAGAAGTAACTGCTTTCCTCTCCTCTCATTTCACAACAGGTCTTGCTTAGAAGCACTCCGGTCAGGGAATCTGCATACACAGTGAACTGTGGGCACCATGTCTTCCACCATCAGGGAAGGTGATGATGGCTATGGCAGAGGCATGTTTGCAGGCATACCAGCTTTAGCTTTTGTAAACATGGATTTTGCTGCAAATAATAGGAGAGAGAGGGGGTTTGGAAGAAGGGGAAGGCACTTCACTTGAGACTCCAATGGGTTGCCCCAGAAACTAGATTACATTCATGGGATGGAGGTTTGGCATCTATGTTTGGGAAGACAATTTTCATAGCAGGGACACCTCCAATTGTATATCATTTTATATATGGTTCATGTATCTTTTATATATGATTCTACATAGGTTAGCAAAACTCTGTATTTTATTTATTCAAGAAATAATGTGTTAACGGATATAAAAACAGAAAGGGAAACCAGCTAAGAAAGCAGCAGGCAGATAAAGCAATATTCTAAGTATGTTGGAAGTTGTCTGTTGCAAAAATAAAGGAAGTGCATCTCAAGTAAGATCATGCAAGGCAATGAATTATTAATCAAGGCACTATTTTATATTTCTAAAAGATACAGACTGAAATAAGCAACAAGATCAAAGATGTCCAGAAATTTACAGACTCATTAAGTCTGAGGTTACTTATGCCAATGCTACACAGAGCCAGGGTGGATATCTTTGATATGTGTAGAGAAGACTATATGTTTGCTTCATAAACTGAGATATGATCCTTGAACCTCAAGTGCAAGCAAGCAAGAAATCTTCATTAAACTACTGTCCTAATTCACTTGAACTTTGGAAAGATGGTTAATGACATGAGATAAAACAAAAAAGATTGCAGTTGGCTTATTCCTGAAAAAGGACACACGGAGAAGCTTCATGCACCCCCACAAAGGCCATTAATATGTTGGCATTTCAAGCCAAAATGTTACTGTCAGAACCACTCCAACAATATTGCCGGAGCCAAAGATAAAAGAAACAGGACTTCTGTAAATCATAAAACTGTTGCAAGTTTGTCATGCTCTTTGAACACATTAGAACTTTACCATGATCAGAAATAATTGGTATGCTTAATAAATCTGAGATTAATGCCATAACTTTGGCCTGGCAAAAAAATAAATGCAGTTGTTACCACATCCTACTTAATGAGCATCAGGTTGGCCTATACTATCTCAAACTTATGGCACAGCTTGTCTTCTTCCAACTCTCTTCTAATATGGATCTTATTTTTCATGTGACCTATTCTGTGGTGAACTATCACCTCCTTCCTTATCTAAGGCATCAGCTGAACCCTCTCCGGTCTCCACAATTAATGACTAGCTGCAGGTTAGTACGGTTTTCTTGGCAACAACAGTTTCCCACTGCCTTCTCCCAGAACATTTTGTTTCCAACTTCTCATCCTAATCTAGAGCTGTGGGATCTCCTGGTCCTAATGCACTCTGAGCCTAAGCACCTTTTCCACCGGGCCAAGGCTGGCTCCGTCAGAGCAAACCCTCTGAAGTTAGTGACTGCAGTGAATCTTTTCTAAGTACGAGCAAATCTGGAACCAACCAAAGTCTCTGGGCTTTTTTTAAAAAAACGCACTGGTGTTCTCCTTCTGAGCACAGCCCTGTTTCTAGCAAGGTTTGCTTCGGCTCCTGCGATCCGTCCTCCATTCCCGTTACTGCACGCGCAGCACGCAGCGACAACAGGAAAGCTCTTGCAAGCTCAGAAGCTTCCACCTACTTTCCACCCTGGACTCAGACGGCCGGGCCGAGCCAATACCAGCCCTTTCCCTCCTTCTCCCTCGCCCCAGCCGGCTGCCATCGCAACGCTTCCTTCCCCTCTTGCTCCGCCGCAGACTCCGCTTCCCTCTCGCCGCCGTCTTGGGAAGGGAGAACCGCCCAGCGCTGGAGAAGCAGGGAGGGAGGAGCGGCGCTCTGCCCGGAACTCACCGGGTCCCTGGCCCGTACGACGGCGACAGTCAGCAAAGCCGCGGCAGCAGCCGCCGCTACTAGCACCCAGGCGCGCATCGTCGCTGCGGCCGATCAAATCCGACGGCTCCTACCGCAGCGCCGGACTTAAAAAAGGCCGCTCCAGCATGTGACTTCTGCCCCTTCATGTGACACCCTCCTAGGAATATACCAACAATAGTTCGGGGGGGGGAACGACGTTGACTCAGAACGTACCATTCAGGCCAGCAATGGGGATGGAATTGCTTCCTTCTCCCTGGTAGGTGATTGTAGTGGGCAAGTATTAAGATAAAGAACTGAAGAACTATGGACGGAGGTCCATAACATTGTACAGGAGGCAGCAACTAAAACCATCCCAAAGAAAAAG